CTCAGTCTTTCAATACTGTGATGTCCTTCTAAGCAGCCATCTGCAGATCCACGGGGATAGGGATGGGGGGGACAACAAGGGGCGACACACTCTCTGATCAAACACAAGTGAGTGACAACCACTTCAGACACCAGCAAAGAGAATGCTAGCCTGAATAGATTTATAAAAGCAATTAGAAGCACTACACAAAGGATGTTGTGATTTTAACTGTAAAATGTTTTTCATTAATTATTTCTAACAGACCAAAATTCAATGAAACCCAGCGCTTAATTCTGAGATTAGAATGGGCCTAATCCTACCCAGGCAAAATCACTGTCAGTTCTGCATGTGGTAGGCAGGTGGCTGTACATTCAAAGATAGCACTGCACATACTCCTCCTACCAAGCAGAAAGAGAAAAAATCCCAGCCAGGCCTACCTCTGCCCTCCACACTTAACATTCCTTTCATTATTAAAGGAGAAGGCCATACAATGGGAGCTGGAGAGATGTCTCTGTGGTTAAGAGAACTGGCTGCTCTTCCAGAGGAGCTGGAATTCCCAGCACCCACATGGCAGCCTACAACTATCTGTAACTAGGATTCCAGGGGTTCAGTGCCCCTCTCCTGGCTTCTGAGGTCACTGCACACACATGGTGCACAGACATATAAGCAGCAAAAACAACCGCACACAAAAAATGTTTTAATTGTTAATTTAAAAAAAAAAAAAAAAGCTACCCAATGACAACTCTATAGCTAAAGCCAGATTCTAAGTTCCTATGATAGTGGGATATTCTTTGGGTATAGTAAATTGACTGCTGAGATAATAAATGAATTAGCATAAACTATGCTGACTTCTTTGGAAGGAATTTTATGAACACAAGAGTCAAGACTTCTCATACAATAAACAATTCAATCACAAGCACTAATAAAGTAACTAAGTAACAGTGAGAAAACATGCTATCAATCAATCAATAAACCTGTGAATTAATTATGTGCGAGACTGTACTAAGTAATGAAGGCAAATTTTAGAAGATGCCTGCCTGCCCTGGACCAGACTCATTCAGTAGCTAAGGACATACAAAAGGCTGTTTTGAAGCCACACATTTAGAAAGAAAAAAAAAAAAAAAAAAAAAAAAAACCTTCCACAATTCAGTCCAACTCCCATGTCATCTGCTTCCCATAGTCACACCCAATCCTTCCATGCCCAATCTTCCAAGCCCATGCTCTGCAATACACACACTCCTTGCCCCTTCCACAGCCCCCATAACCCACCCCCTCAGATGCTTCTCTCACACTAACTTCCAAACCTCATCCCAGATGCTTCCTGCTCCTTGCAAGTACTTTATAAACAGCATGACCCAGAATGCTCTTTTCAATTTCTCTCTGAGTAGATGCAGTCCCTACTCTATCTCCTGCTTTATTTCTATACTTATCTGTCTTCTTAGAATCAAGTTATACAGCTAGAAAAACCTGAATTGAAATAACCATTAGTTAGCTCTCTGACCTTGGCCAAAACAAACTACCAATTGTCTTAAGCTTCAGCTCCTGAATTTATAAGTGAGGAAATTATCACCTGGTGAACACTCCTTATTTAATTGGTAGGTGTGGGTTTAAGAGAGGGAATGTGAAGAAAAGGCTGAGGGTGGAAGTGCCTCAGAATGACAAAAGGCAGGAAAGTTGTAACTATTGGGACTATATATCATTAATGAGCCAGTGGCAAAGCTAACATATTAAGAAAAGACAAGAAAAATATTCAAGGTCAATGAAAGGCATAACCAAAGTTCAACCAAAAAGAAACTTGAACACTTACAGTCCAAAAAAAAAACCTTCCCACCCTAGACCAGATAGAAATACTAATACATACTGATAATAGTTAGGAAAAAATATCAACTGTATACAAACTGTTAACAAAACTGAAGGAAATGGACCATTTCTCAACTCACAACTCACCAGAGCTCCCCATATTACTAGCAAAAAAACAAAAAACAAAAAAAAAAAAAAAAACCTCTTTCACCCCAGCTCTGTGAATAAACTCCAAAGACTAGAAAGAAAAGCTGGGTATTTTTGAACTGACAACACTGAACTGAGTGATGGAAGGACAGATACATAGATGTAGATATAGATATATGTATATATTCTGGACAAAATTACAACAGAGAGTAGAATGGTGGTGGCCAACAGCAGGCAAGAAGAGAATGAATTGCTCTAGAGGCCTGTTACATTTCAGTCAACAGTTACCAGCACTGAACTATACATTTTGAAATGACTGGGTAGGACTATGTGGATGGAAGCATACACTTGAAAGCCCAGAACTCAACCTTAGGAGGAGTTGGCTGTGTTTCGTTTTGTTTTGTTTTGTTTTTGTTTTTGTTTTGTTGTTGTTGTTGTTTTGTTCTGAAATAGCCTCTCTCTGGGACCTGGGGCTCAGAGACTAACTAGGCTTGACCAGCAAGCTGCCAGGGTCCTTCTGGGATATGGATGTCAGGTCCTTGTGTGCTGCAAACACTTTACCAACTAAGCCAATTCTCCCAGCCAGACAGTAAGCTTTATATTATGTGTTTTATTATAAAGGAGTTTTTTTAAAAAATGAAAACTGGTTTCTAAGCTGTAGTACAGATTAAAAACATTTCTAATCAATTGGTCCCAATGGCCTATTTTAATCCAAAAAAAATGTATTTTTCCCAAATAAAAGAGAAATGAATGCATCTTTCAGGTTGAACACGGGAGCTCCTCCAACTATAATAAAGCAAGAGGGAGGAGCAGTGAGCTCAGCAGGTAAAGGCACTTGCCACAAAACCTGACAACCTGAGTTCAACCCCCCAGGATCCACTTGGTAGGAGGAGAGACTCCCACATGTTGTCCACATTTTAAATTAAAATTTACAAAATAAAGCATAGGGAGCAAGTTGAAGAACAAGGGCAAGAAAACAATTAAAATGCTAACTGGTGGCTGAAACACAAAGCAGACCATTCAGACACAAACATACTGTGTCATCCCCACCCGACACACTGCCTAAGTCCCTGAGTAAAACCTTCATAGAGGCTTCTCTTTAGTCAAAGCACAAAGAAAAATGCAGCTTGCCTATAAGCCCTAGCACAATGTGGCCCCACTCCACATCCCCAGCCCTAGGTCCTAGCAGATTGTCCCACATGTCTCCAGTTCCCTTCTAGAGCTTTACCTTGTGTCCCTGATCCTCACCTGCCACTGCCATGGCAGGGTCTCTTGCCCTGCTAACAAATCTCACTGAAGCACTTCCTTTCCACTGCATCCTGAATATCTCCATTCAGAGATGTCATCTGTGATTCTCTTAACACATCACAATTGCACCTTAACATTGTGTGGTTATTGGATTATCATCGGCTAAAAACAGGGATCAGGTCTGCATTCATTCTCAACTGCACAGACAAGGACAGTGCCTGGTACCAGGTGGACACTCCAGTATCTGTTTAATAACTAGATTAAACAAGATAGTAACTACAAGAAAGCAATAAAACATCCTAAAAGGTCTTATCCATCTTCATAATCTTTGGTATACCTGCAAAGCAATGGCCTAAAATCCTTATCTTCTACAGTTTAAGTCATGTACTGAGAATCAAAAGCTGATAACCTAAACACACACACACACACACACACACACACACACACACACACACACACACACACGGGTACACCACAGACAATACATAGTAACTGGTCACTGAGTAACCATTCTTTTCTTTGTCTCCTGACAAAATGCCTACTACATATGAAACACTCAAGAGTGTCAGTCAAAGAACAAAATTTCGCACAAGACACAAGTACATATTAAACACTAACTCTAAGTTGTTGCACTTTACATAAATATAAGACCGACTGCAGGGGCAAAGGATCGCCAAGGGACAAAGCACCTGTTTTAGATCTCAAACAGGAAGAACAGCAGAGATGTATGCGTTATGCGTTTGGAAAGAAATGGATCAGAATCAAGTGACTTTAGAATTTTAAATATGAACTAAAGAACACCATATGGAAATGTTTCCTAAGCCCTAAGGAATATAGGAAATCATTTAGTTTGTTCAGTTCCCTCCAACACAAATATAAAGTCTATCTCTACTTTGGAGGCCAATCAACTATTAAACATATTCCTGAAAACAGCAGCCTACATTCATTTCTCCACCGGGTTGTACTTAACCTAATGCCATCTTACCGCTTTCCCAATGGGACAAAGCGTACAATACAATCTCATGTCTCCTAAAAGTCATTTCAAGTGTATCAACGCTACCGGTGCTGAATACTGAAAAGAAATGACAGAGTTTTGAATGATGAGTCTTAAGTCCCTGCATTTTATTCCTAAATAATTCCACAAACTGTTCTCATCAATCAGTAGATACCAACGTCTCGGGTTTTCTTGGTACCACTTGTCCAGACTCAAAGGAGGTTTTCAGTTCAATGCCACTGTATCTTTTGAAATGTACACCAGAGATAATACTGACACGTCAAGATCAGTCAAATTCCTTCTGTATGAAAATGGAAGCGACGACATCTACGATACCATATACTAACCACAGCTCATTCATAACTGGGAAGCTAACTCGGGGGGCGGGGGGGAACCGTGGGCTCAGAGTGTACAATTAAACGAGACTCTGCGTCCCGGGGAATGGATAAAGTGTATCTCTTCGGGAAGCTCGGGCGATCTGCAAGTGCTGCGGCTCAGCTCTCCCGAGGCGCCGCAAGCCTGTCAGGCTCCATCAGGACCCACGAGAACACGTCCCCGGGTGACCCGAGCCTCGGGAGGCTGCGTCTTCCCCGCCACGGGCTCCAATCCTCCCATCTCCCTCCTCACGCACTGAACCGCGCTACAAAAGGAAGGACCCGCGGGGCGTGAGGGACCCGAGGCCAGGCCGGAGCCGCCGTGAGGCGACCGGAGGCGCCGCAGTCGGCCGCCCTGGGAGGCGAGGACGCACGGCCCGGGCCGCGGAGCGCAGCGCGACGGGAAAGCCAGGCCCGGCGGCCCGGGCGTGCGCAGGGGGAGGGGGCAGGAGCCTCACCGTCGCTCCCCGGAGGCCGGCGCCGCCGCGGACCCGCAGTTGCTAGGGAGAATGCGTTTCCGGGTCACGAGCGAGCGTTCCAGTGAGCGACGGTGGCCGGTTGGGGCCAAGAGCGAAACGCCAGGCGAGTGTGCCGTGCAGGCGGTGGTCGCTGCCGCAAGGCCACGAGATTGAGCGAGGGGAGGTGCGTGTACCATGCCGCGTGGGCCGCTCCCTACTGGGAGACGGCAACCGAACCGCCCTTCTGTCCCAGGTCCCTCCCGCAGGGTCTGGTCCTGAACCCACCACCTAGCCGGCGTCACGTAGCAGGTGCCACCTAGGCTTATCGCTGGTGGTACGAACGCCAGCACCTTCCTTGTGGCCAACCCTTACTCATCCACTCATTGAACCATCTCTCCTCCACTGGACACCAACCTGTTCAGGACGAGGTGCATTGTTGGCACGTGGGGTACAGAGGTGTGTAACACGGTCTGTACCCTAGAATATAGAGGCTGTGGCCAAAGAGGTGACAGTGTCCACCTCGCTGAGATGAGCAAAGAAGCTGTAAAGCCTGGGGGGGGGGGGGGGGGAAAGGCCTGCCTAGGCACAGGAAGAAAAGAGCATAGGAACTGCAACCACGTGCAGGAGGAGGGAAAAGTGTGTCAAGACATGGAGTTGATGTAATGTGGTGTGAATCCCTTCTGAAGGCAGCATGGCCTGACCGGAGAGGTGCGTCAAGAATTACTAATACACAGGATGGAGCCTAGAACATAACGACTCTGTGAACCAAAGAGAAGGGACGCCCAAAGAGCGTCCAAGGGAAGCATGAGAAGGAACTATGTCAGTGAGGGACTGATGATCGTTGTCAACCTCTGTGGAGAACATGTGTCCAGTGGTGCCCATAGAATGAACAGAATTCAAGAATCTACAACATCAAATTAGAAGGTGCTGGAATGGGACCCACTTCTGGTGAAGGAGGCCGCTGTATTACTCTACATGTTGAATCAAGAAAAGGCAATATAGCAAACTTCCGGATTTCTTAATGCTTTAAAAGGACCCACTTTGGTATAACTCAAATGTTTGCCTAAGGAATGAACCTGAGGATCCTTTGGTATTTTTAGCTTTCTCTCAGATCCTTTCAGAATCCTCAGCCAAACTTCCGTGTGTGCAAAGCTAGCCTATTCAAACTGCAGAAAATAGATAGATAGCTGGGATTTGGGGGTTCGGTGAATAAGAAACAGGCTAGTGGAGACAGGAATGGGAAACCCGGGAGAGACAAAGAACAAAGGATTGAAACAATAAAATATGGGTTGGAAGGGCTAGGAATGTAAGGGAAGGCTAAGAAAACTAAAACTATTTTAACTGAACATCTAGCGAAAAGTGTGGTAACCAGTGTGAGGGTTACAACACTGGATGGACACACTACCATGACCTCTGAGTGGAGTAAGCTGGGCTGAAAGAAGACCACAGCACACTTCAGAATGGGCCTGAGCTAAGAGGCTTGCTCTACAGTCCTATCTCTAGCCCGTGTTCATTCCTCATAGAACAAGCATGCCCATAAGTACTTCTGAAAGACTTAGAAATAATGGTTTTCCAAGATTTATCCCTAGTGCATGAACTGACTTCTTGGAACCCATTCCCTATGGAGAGAGAACTTACTCAGTATCGGTAAGGGGGGGGGTGGGTAGGGGCTTGGTCCTGCCTCAACTTGATATGCCAGGTTGTGTTGACTCCCCCACGGAAGGCCTTACCGTTACTGAGAAGTAGATGAGCGGTGGGATGGAGGAGGTGGGGATCGAGGGGGGTGGGAGACTAGGGTTGGTATGTAAAATGGAAAAAAATAGATAAATAAAAAATGTTAAATAATAGTTTTTCTCCGGGAAACAATCTATTCCTGGTTGATTTAACCAGCTGTCAAGAATATGGGAACCTACAAGGTATGGTCAAGAGGACTGTCTTAATTCATTCTGACTACTGTGACAGAATACCACAGGCTAAGGCCAATGAGCAGACTTCCCTAGAGACTGGGACATCCAAAATCAAGGCATAGACCTCTTCAGTGTCTGATGTGGACCCACTTCCTGACTGATAGTCAGCAATCTGCTCAATGTGTCCCCACAAGATAGAAAAGGCAAGGGAGTTCTCTAAAGTCTATTACCAGGAGACTATTCTATAACAAAAGCCTAGGACCAAATCAAGACCAATCAGTTATGGTTTAGTAGAAGTCAGCTACATCTCTTGTTTGGTGAATAAGATACAAAGCCAACTCATGACCTAGAAAAGAGAAGGCCCAAATAAATAAGTTGATGAATTCTGTCTTGCTTATACCTGGTGGTGTATTTGGTTGAAGGGCCAGGTGATTGGTGGGACTCCATGTAGTTGGGTTTCTGTAGAATGTCAGTGGCGTCATAAGAGATGGGACCTTTCTGGTGTTTATTCTCCACTTCAACATGATAAGCTTCATCTATGTTTGGTCTCTGGATGACTGATGCCCATTAATGATGCAAAATGCTTGGAGAAATGTCTCCCAAGACCCAGCACACAACTGCCATACCCTGCTAGAATATGTAAAGTGCCAGCTACACACCAATTTGACTATAGGAGGCATTGTGTCTACATCTTAGTCAGTCTTGTCTGCTGTAACAAAATGCCACAGACTGAGGACCTTAAACAACACAAATTTACAGTTCCCAAAATTGTGAACTCTAAGATCAAGGCATTGGCAGATTGTCTGGTCAGGACCGACTTCCTATTTCTTGTCTTATCCTGATCGGACAGGAAAAGAGCTAATTAACGTTCTAGCTTCTCATAAAAATACCAATCCCGGGAAAGGGCCGCACTTGATGTGCCGAGTGTGTATCCCTGCAAGGGGTGGAGCTGAAGATGGCGTCCGCGGTGGCTTGCGGGCTGGCCTGGACAGCAGTCCGACCAGGGGGCTATCTGGAGCGGGCTGAGGGGGAAGAGAGGTGGTGATTTCTCCGTCGTACTGGGCAGCTCAGGTCGCAGCCTGGTATCGTCGAGGTCAGTCACCGTCACTCGCCATTTTGCCCAAGCCGGTGAAAATGTCCTTTGGTCTTCTTCATGTGTTCTCCATTATGATCCCCTTTCTCTATGTTGGGACACTCATTAGCAAGAACTTTGCTGCTGAGGATGACGACGATGATGATTAACAGATCCTGGCGGAAGTTCAGAAAGGAGAAAGCACTAATAGATGAAGTGGTGGCACACTCAGCTCCTTCCCTATTGGCAAAAGGATCAGGGAAAGCCCCCAGCCTCATCTCCTCATGGTTTGTGACAACAGCCCAGAATCCTATGCATTGGGAGGTTCCCTCAAATGTGCTGTCCACAGAGCACTGGAAATAACAAGCAAGCAAATTATGAGTAACATAATAAATATGAGCTGTGTATGACTGAAAAAAAAAAATACCAATCCCATTTTGAAGGCTTCACTCTTGTGGCCCAGTCACCTTTCAAAGGCCCCACTTTTGAAAGGTGACTGGTTTTCAGAATATGAATTCAGGAGGACATAAACCTGCAACCCACAGATCTGCTATGAATCCCTAACTCACTGATGAGTTAACAGCGTTCTAGAGAGGTGCTCTCCAGACCTCCGTTTTGTTTTTCAAGACAGGGTTTCTCTGTGGCTTTGGAAGCTGTCCTGGAACTTTTGTAGACCATGCTGGCCTCAAACTCACAGAGATCTGCCTGACTCTGCCTCCTGAGTGCTGGGTTTAAAGGTATGTGCCACCCAGCAAGTTTTGACATTTTTTTTAAGGTTTTTATTTTTATTATGTGTACAGTGAGCTGTCTGCATGTTTGCCTGCAGGACATAAGATCCCACTAGAGATGGTTGTAAGCAACCATGTGGTTGCTGGGAATTGAACTCAGAACCTCTGGAAGAGCAATGTTTTTAACCTATGAGCTATCTCTCCAGCCCTTTCCAGGCCTTCTTAACCCTGATTTCTAAGCACCAACTTCCTCTGCCCAGGATTCGGTGCTAACATCTACCCAGGCATAGAGATTCCCCAACCTCACTTTCCGAGTCACCACATTCTTAAACATTCTGCCATGAGATGGTCCTAGAAGTTGTCTTTTTCTCCTCACCCAACACCATCGCATCAAAGACAGGGAAATGAGCAGTTACTAAGCAACTTGGGATCAATAAAAAAAAAAAAAAAAGTGTTGCAACCTCAAAGATGAACCCAGGTGATAAAGGCAGGGTATGCGTATGAATGTGTGGGAGTAGGTGTGTAACAAACAGTGCAGTGACCAAAGCAAACACAGTAAGAACTTCAAGGAGATAAGGCAGAATAAGTCGATTCAACAGCATGACTTAATTGCTGTGTGTATGCCGATTTCATCACACAGGAAATGAAGGATCATGAAAGGAGTATGAAATAGGTTGAAAACTGAAAACATTCCAAGAAGCAAAGTAGAGGAGTGCTTGCTAGCCTGAAGGAATCTGGGAAGACCTCAGATCGTGAAGACCATATATGTGGTCCTGTGGGTAAACAATAAAGAAGTCTCAACATCTCCACCTGGTCCAGCGTCCACCCAGACCACTGTTTCCAACTGGAAGCCATACTCTGTATTCTGCTTTGTTCTTGCTTTATTTTACATGATTTTTTTCTAATGTTGGTTTCTCTTTTTCTTAACTTTTAGAATGTAAACCCTACTAAAACATTCCTTAAAAGAAAAGATTCTTGAATCTCATTGCTTTACTATCATGTTCTTTTTTTATATTACAGTTCCTGTGTAAAAGTTTGCTAGAGCCAGACGTTGGTGGTGCACACCTTTAGTGCCAGAACTCAGGAGGCAGAGGCAGGTGGATGTCTGTGATTTTGAGGCCAGCCCGGTCTACAGAGTGAGTTCCAGGACAGGCTCCAAAGCTACACAGAAAAACCCTGTTTCAAAAACAAAACAAAAACAAAAAAAGTTTGCTAGAGAGATGGCTCAGCTGTTAAGAGCACTGGCCGCTCTTCCAGAGGACCCAGGTTCTCAGCACTCAGAGTGTGTCTCACAACTGTCTGTAGCACCAGTGCCATGCGGATCTCACGCGCTCTTCTGACCTCCATGGGTACTGCATGAACATGCATGACATACATGCAGGCAAAATTACCCATGCACAT